TCAAATAAAAAATCATAAATTTTGTAAATGCAGTTCTGATGCCAAGGAGAAGAGAGGGCCCAGCTGAAATATTTGGTGGGGGAATTTGAGGAAGAAAAAAATGCCAAGGACCTGGAATCTAAAGGTCTGGGAGCAAGGGGAGGGGAGGAAGCAGCAGGCTTTCCAGGGAAATCCGGAAGGAGACTCCACCCATCCCTATGGCTCTTCAGAAAGCCCAGTGGGAGCCCTCGGAGGGGCTCAGCATGACAGCCCATAGCAGGGAGGGAGCGAGTAGGCAGGAGCCTGGCCATCCTCACCTCTGGGACTCCCTGACAGGTGGTTCTAACCCAGCTCAGAGAGGGCACACACGTTTCACGTTAGATCCTGGCTCACCCTTATGCCAACAACCAGAACTAATGGTGGTGGGTCGCTGCTAAGGATATCTGATTAAAAGGAGAGAAAGAAGAGGGGGAAAACTCATCCATCTGGGTTGGAGCAGGGAAAACGGAACAGAACAAGGGTCCCTCTTTGGAACAATGTGCATATTTTTACACGAGTAAAGGCGAACTGTGTGACTTAGAAAAGAAAGTGGGGGCTTTTTTGTTTTGTTTTGTTTTGTTTTGTTTTGTTTTGTTTTGTTTTGTTTTGTTTAAGGTAAGATTATATAGGGATGACACGATTTGAGACCATTGGAGGAAGGAGCCCTGGAGATGCCAGTTGCTGGCCAGCAGGTGGCGCGTTTTCTTTAGGATTGCGTCCCGGAATCTCTGGACCAAACCTCTCAGCCAGACCTGCTCAGCCCTCTCGCCCGCCCGGAAATCGCGATGCAGATAATAACCCTCCAGCGTCTGGAAATGTTTAATTACCGCGAGCGCTCAGTTTTCTCGCCACCGCTGAGGGAGCCCTTCCAGAACCCAGCACCGCGCGGTGGTGAGGTTTCCATCCGCTGGGTTTCACCCTCACTACCCACGACCCAGTTCAAAGGGCATTTCTTCATCATCCTCCGTTCGGTTGGACACTGCGCCGTGTCTTAACACGTTTATTTCCACCTTTGGGTGGAGGAAAAGTTCAGTAATCTTAGAACTCAGATCTGCTGCGTGTCAGAAATAATTCTGACAGCTCACATCGGTGCAAAGATTTAAAACTCGCCACGCCTTTTGCACACATTGTGCATTTGCTGCTCAAAACGCCGGGGGCTTTTCTCGTTTTGTTTTCTCGGCGATAGCATGCCCAGAATCTATTCGCATATTGGTGCTCCGTACCTATTCCTATAAACCCAGGGTAGATGCATTCCTGTGCACGGTTACGTTTAATGAGGTGCAGACAATTCGGAGATACTCGCGTGCTCCCGAAGAACTCAGGAACCGGGAACTGCCCGCAGAGGCAGCTCACTTTCCCTTTCAGTTTTGATGCTGTAACGTGTGTCTCGCTGCCACCAGAAACGCCAGCTCTTGCGTCCACCCGGGGTTGCTCCTCCCGAACCCGCGGAGTTGCTGGCGAGTTATCAGGATGTGTTATCTGCCCCGTGTGTCTGGATGTCATGTTCCCTTTCTCCCCGTGCTACACACGTCCCCCCCTCCAAAGCTGGATTCTGACCTGATTGATCGTAATGGTTCCAGAGGAACTATTGAGCCATTACAATCCATCATGTAAACGATTACAGAGGGATGCCTAAATCTCCCGGTTATTTGAGACCTCGGGCCGCGCTTGAAGCGGGGGCTCGTGAGCAGACCCCCAAGGTCCGCGGTGCAGTCACGGGAAAGCTTGCACTGGAAGAAAAAGAAAAAAAAAACACCTCACAAGTGCGAAGTGCATTCCGTTTTGAAAAAATGAGATCACTGTTGTGTGGCTAGAAAGTGGGGAAAGGTGGGGTTCCTTCTTGAATCCACAAGACCCCGAAACAGCATAAGCCATGTTCTGGTTAATTTTCTGGGAGCTGCTCAGTGTTCACTCCAAACGCAGGCTGGGCACTTCGCCTGCCCAGCACACCGGAGTGAGGAGAGGGGCTGGGGAGACCAGCGGAGCTGTCAGCACCCCAAATGTGCCCAAGGAAAGGCAGAGGCCTGGGCTCCTTCTGGAATGGGCACAGTGTGGTCAACAGCCCCGGGCTCTCATGGGCTAGGCGATCTCTCCCTGCGGGACCCCACCGGCAGTTTTTTGTGTTTTTTTTTTTCTTTTTTTTGGGGGGGGGGCGTTACCCGGTCAAGGAGGCCCCATTGCTATCAAGGGAACCTTGCCCTAAGGCTGCTAGGTCCAGGCCAAAGGACCCCTCGGGCACAGATGGCTCCGCCCTGCAGGCTGGGGGCGGGAACGCAGGGAAGAGCCTGTGCGAGTTTGCACCAGTCTGGTTGCTGGCTGCTGCCTGCAGCCGCGCGATGCCCAGAAATGGGACTTTCCTGCTGCTTTCCCTGGGCTCCCTGGCCTTAGAGAGGCTGGGTCCCGGCGGGATGGCACTGCCTTCCACACAAAGTTTACCGTGATGTCCTGGCGAGTCCTGGACGCATAGGATTTCGCTAACCATTACCCTCCTGGCCCTGACCTGTTCTGGGTCCCGCCCTCCTTCATCCATCCAAGCGCAGCCCGGGCGCTGGCTGCCCCCTAGACCTGCTGCCCAGGGCCTGATTAATTTCTCTTAAATAGGCGGGGCGGGCTTCCGCTCTTGGATCTCAGCTCCTGGGCTTCCAGCCATCCCAGGAACCAGAACCTGGTTGGTCTCCAGCGGACACTGAGGCCAGGGTTTGGGGGTCACCCCCTTGGGAGCTTGGATGGGGATGGAGAACACTTCAGCAATGAGCAGATCTCGAATTTCGTTATCCCGGAGTTCTGGGGCTGTGCACTGTGGGACCCGGGAGGGGAGTGTGGAAGCCAGGTGTCTGAAACAGGCGCTTCTCTTCCTGTCCTGCAGACCAGCCCCAGGCAAGGCAACCAGGACTCCGGGGAAGAAAGGCCCTGAGGGACCGGCCCCCGCCTTCCCTCCCCTTCCTGCCCCACGTGGGCTGAGTGCCAGGATTTGACCTAAATCGGGATCCGTTTTCCAGATCACCTGGCAAGAGCCTTATTCAATAACCAGGTCGCACGGACCTTTCCTCCAATCCCTAAGACTCTCTCTGCGAGAGCTCCTTCGGGACCCCTACTCTGAGCTTTGAGATATTTGGCCAAGAGCCCTGATGCAGAAGGACAGGCGAGTGGCGAGAGGAAGGAAGCTCGGTGGTCCCGGATGGCGTTTAGAGCAGGTGATGGGATTCTACACCCCAGTAGGCTCATCCCAGCTGAGCATCCGCTTCGGAGGGGACACTATCTGGACAGCCAGGCGCCCTATTGTGGGGTCCCCCCTCTATGAGTCCTTTACCACCGCTAAGGGGGGTTCCCGGAGCTTGTCTCCTAGGAGAACCCAGGACCGGTACAAGCCAGTTCCCTCCCTCCAGGTGGGAGCCCGGACAATCCAGGAACGCCCTTCTGAGCCCAGATCCTCCCCTGCTCTGGGAACTTGCTGCCTTCCAGTCTCCGAGAGGAGAATGATTTCAGCCCCACCCCCTCCCCCCGCTCGCTCCTCCCCTTCTGCTCTCAAGGGGCCTCGCCCTGGCCAGAAAGTTGCCCTCACTGGCAGCTCCAGCTGCAAACCTATATGCAAACCTATATGCAAACCCTGGCTCCAGCATGAACTGTGGTAGGGCGGGAGTGCCATCCCTTGGTGCAAAGACGTCCTCCTGCTGCTCCAGCCACCTTAGCTCCGGGTTGGAGGGCAGGCTCTGTTTTAAAAGCTTGCTGCTGAGACCAGGGTCTCCTCCCACTATGTCCTAGATCAGGGAGTGGTACCCTAAGAAACGCCTGTGGGGACTAGCAGACCAAAGCTCCGCGTAGTGGTAGTGGCAGCTCCTCTCCAGAGGAGACCACTAGCCAAGGACTCACTAATGCCAGGATTCAGCCCGGGGCTAGGAAGAGGCACTCAGCAGCCCACCCTGCGGTGTGGCAAACTCCAGGAGCGTAGTGCGGTGTGTGAACCTGGACCCCGCCCCCCCCCCAACCTCCCTGCCCCCCACCCCCCACCCCCAACCAGCACCTTCTCCCAAACCCAAGGGGGAGGTGGCAGGGAGGAGTCAGGGCTGGGGTCAGCCGAAGGTCAGCTCCTCGCAGTGAGCAGTCAGAGGGTAAACGGCACTCCCCCTGAGGCATCAGCCCTGCGAACAGGATTCCTGGCGGCGAGGACCCTGACCCTCCTCCTAGACTCCCCGAATCCACCTGACCCGGCTCCTGGGACTCGGGGGCCTGCAGCCTACTTGTCTCACGTGCCTGACGCCGCTTTCCAGACCCCCAGCCGTCCTTCCAAAACAAATGAATGCGTGATCAGAGGTGCGGCTGTCCATTGGGGCGGAATCCCAGCCGGTCCGGGTCCCAGGAAAATAACTTTTTTTTTATACCCTCTTTCCCCGGCTGGCTCTCCACCTCCGCCTCTGATCCTCCTACCCAACGTCCTAGCCAGGGTCTGGGGCACCGTCCTGGGACTCAGCACGCCGGGATGTCCGGGGTTGCGCCACCCTCGGGACCCTCCCATCTGGGAAGGGATGCTGGGGGGAGAAGAGGAGACGCTGCCGGGGCCCCCAGGGTGCTGAGCCCCAGCTTCAGCGCGGGGATCCCCGGTGACCCCGTCTCCACTCGGCACAGGCTGTGTCCCAGGCGGGCAGGAGTGGGCTCTCCAAAGGCCAGGAGACCCAGGCTCTCCTCTGCTGGCGGCTGTTTCTCCTCGCGCGATGGGGGTGCCCTCGAGGGTCCACCAACACGGGGGAGAGGGGGTGTCGCACAGGACTGAGGAGCTGGGAACGCAGGTCCCGGGAGGCCGGGGCTCAGCGAGCGCAGCTGCCAAAGCCGGCTGCCCGGGTCAGCAAAACTTTGTTCCCCAGTGCGCAGGCGCGGGCTGGGAGGGGGCAGGGGCGGGAGGGAGGGGTGGAATCCCGAGGCCGGGAGGAGGGAGGAGAGAAGAGAGAGGAGGGAGGAGGGAGGAGGGAGGGTGGTGGGTTAAAATAAGTAGGCGGCTCGGTGCACAGGGATGAGTGAGTCTGAGCTCGGTTTCTCCCCAGAGCGTTCCCAGCCTTGACCGGTTCAGACCCGACCGACCCGGGAGCCGGGAGCCGGGAGCCGGGAGCCGGCAGCCCCGAGCCGGACTCGCCATCCCCGGCGGCGGCTGAGCGCTCCCCGCGCGCCGGGCGCTCCGAGTCCCCGCACCGGAGAGGGGCCAGGGCTCTGGAGCTCGGGGTGCCTGTGGGATCCAGTGCTTCTGGCTTCCCGGGTCCCCCGCAGCGGGAGCCCCGACACGCGCTCGCTGAGCCCGGGACGGGACCGCCGCGGACCCAGAGGTAACGGCAGCCCCGGGCGCCCCGGCGCGGCGAGGGGGGTGCGGGCGGGACTCCCGCCCCTGTCACTGCGCGCCGGGGGGCTCCTCGCGCTCGGTACCCCAGAAGGACGCTCCTCCGGGCGGGCGGAGGCTGCAGGGCTTTGCGGAAGGGAGAGCCGATGCAGCCTAGGGTGGCTAGGGGTGCTGGCTCGGGGCTCCCGACCTCTGATCTCCTGGGGATGAGGGAGGAGAGGGCGCGCTTCCACGACTGTCCCCAGAGGGGCCAGACTCCGTGAGATCCGGGGCGAGGTGTCCACGGATTTGGGAAGTCAGCCCGGGGGGAGGGGAGTGGTCCCTCTAAGAAAATGCAGCCACTTCAGCGGACACATACTTTCCGGAGACGGGCTCCTAGCCCGGCCCGAGCTTAGCCGACGGAGGAGAAGAGCGAGCGGATGGACGGCCAGGGCCGCGGCCGTCGCCCGGGACAGGTGCATCCCCCTGCGGGGTCGCGCTCCTGGCGAACCTGTCTTTTGTGCAGTTGCGCTCAGGTTGGAGGGGGGGCTGGACCAGGGAGCGCAGGGCCCTGTGGCTGGCCCATCTCGCACTGGCTTGGGATTTTCTAAGGGGACGATTGTCCTGGGATCAAGGCCTGGAGTGCAACTCACCGCTGTCCAACTGGAGACCGCCCCGGCGCCGCTTCCCCAGAAACACCACGGAGCGGCGGGTGTCTCCAGCTTGGGGGTTGGGAAGGAAGAATTCGTTTGCTCCCTCCACTGTCCCCAAACCCAGCCTTCGGGAGAGGAGAGGGAAGGAGGTGAGAGCTGGCCTGCTGAGCTCACGTCTCCCCAGAGACGTCTCTGATGAGAAGGAAGACGCACACCCAGCACCCTTTCAGCCGCTCCCCGGTAGCTAGCGCGGCGCGGGGTAGGCTGGAGGGTGGCAGGCAGCGACGAGTTTCTTTGTTGCCACCCCTGGGTAAATTTCACCGGGCTCAGGGCTGTGTGCCGGCTCTGGGGAACAGAAACCACGTGCAAGGCTAGTTGGTTTCCCAAGTTCGCAGCTTCCAGAAGCAGAGAAGGGTTGGCAGGGATAGGGGATGAGGATGGAGGGAGACCCCTGGGTAGATATGTCCTCTTCTCCCCCCCCCTCTCCTCTAAGGAACTGTGGTTTCATTAAGATTGGGGAGCAGATCGCTAAGGGCGCAGAGGGCGTCTCAATGCGGCGGATGGAAGCCTGGCAGAAGGATTCGTTTGCTCTCAATCCGTGGGAAAAATTCAACCAAAGGAGCCGGGCCACTCGCGTTGGGGATTCCGCGTGCAGGATGGTTTTCTGGGGCTCCCGCTGGGCTCCTCCAGGCGCAGGCTCCCGAAGCTCGCTCCGCCGTCCTCATTAATGCAAGCAGTTAACTCGCACACGCTCAATTAGCCCCGAATAAACCGCTTTAATAGACTCTGCACACTTCATTAATGCCCGGCTGGGGCTCCCTGCAGCCCGGGATCGGCGCTCCAGCGCGCGGGGACTCCGGCTTCCAAGCGCGACACGCATTTGCCGCGCGCGGAGTGGGGGACCTGTGCCCGCACCTCCTCCGAGGTCCGGAGGCGATGCCGCTGGGCCTGGGGAGTGGGGTTCCCTCTCGCCTTGAATGATCTGCAGAGTTCAGCCCCGGGTTCCGGGGTCGGGGCCCGCAGAGCGCACCCTCGGGGGCTGGAGAGCCGGGTGAGCTGTGCTTTGCTCTCCGCTGACCGCCGGAAGCCGGGTCGCGCATTCGGCCCATTCTCGGTACGGGTGCAAAGAGCCACGTTTCCAACGAATTTCGTCCCCGGGAAAGTCAAAGTCGTTGGCGGGAGTGTGGGGAGCGCTGTCCTGGGAATGGGGCAGAAAATAAGAAACGGGCTGCGCTCCCGCGGAGGAAAAACAAACAAAAAAACCCCGAGTGTTGGGGAAACCAGATGAGGCGGTGGCCCCAGAGCTCTGGTGGCCGCAAGCACCCCTCCGCCCGCCGTGCCCGCGTCTGCGCTCCTGGTGGGCGCGGAAGGGCCAGGGGGCCACGCCAGGTGCCTGGGTTCTCCCCCTCGGGCACGGGACGGGCTCGGACCCGCGTGCGGCCTGAGCCCCGCCGCTCACTTGGCCGCGGGTCGGCCGAGCACGGAGACCTGGGAGCGGAGGGCCCTCGGCAGGTCCCTGGGAGCCAGATAGCATCTGATTCCAGCTCCTGGGGGCAGGAGGAGGGGGTGGCAGCAAATCAAAGAGCGCTCACCTCGCCCGAGTCCCAGCCAACCTGTGAAGTTGGGGAGTTTTCTCCTTCTTCTCCTCCCTCTTTCCTTCCCCTGCTTTCTCTCTGGCCTGATTTCTATTTGATTCCTATTTTGCTTCGCACATCCCAAGTTCTAGGATGGTCTCAGCTTGCCCCCACGAGCCCTGGCTGGGGCAGCAGAGAAGAGGGGAGCAGAGGCCAGGACCCTGCGCGCCCGCCGCCAGCACTCGGTCCTGGAGGTTCCGCTGCTGCAGATTTGCGCCCCTCCTAGCCCAGAGGCTGTTAATTGCTGTGGTCAGCTAGGTTTTCATTCAACCGCCAGAGGAAGGGAGCACGCAGGGAGTTTTGTAACCCCCTACTCCCACCCCCAGCAGAGCTTCTGTCTTTCTGGCCCAACACGTAGCTGGTGACCCTTCAGCCAGCCCCAGGGGACAAGTTTCTGGGTCCAGATCTTCCTCACTCTTCCCGCCAACGCCGGCGAGTGCGGTGCTTTCTTCTCAGGGAAGACTTTGCTGCGAGGAAAGGCAGCTGAGTGTAGGCCTGGGCTGAGGTTGAAGCCAGGCTCCCACACTCCTAGGAGGGTGTCAGCGAGTGCGGTGGAGGGGGAAGCAGAGCATCGTCCTGCACACCCAGGGAAGGAGAGATCTGAGGCGGAGGAGAGGGGGAAGAAGGGGTAAAGGCAGTGGGCCATAGAGGATGGGGGTGGGGGTGGGGGCAAAGGAGAAAGGTGACCCAAGCTCCCTGCCCCACAAGGACTTCCTGAGTAGCCCTCTGCTCAGAGCTGAGAGGGAGAGGACAGGGCGGCCAGCACTTACAGGGAGTTCAGCGTCAGAGAGGGTGCACTTTTCACTTTCGTTCCTCCTGTTTCTGCCTCTACCAGACCAATCTGAGTGTCCGGGAAAGAAGAGACTCAGGCCCCTCTGCAGACCACAGCCCTGTCCATGGAGACTGGAGGCCCGGACCCTAGAGGCCCGTTGGCTGCCCTCTGGCCTGTCAGCTGGCCGGTGGCTAGACAAGGCAGCTGAGGCAGGCCTCCATGCTCTTTCCTGCCCTCAGGCATACCCACCTGTCTAGGGCTCACCACACACATAATCATCCCTCAGAAGACCCCAAAGCCCCCTTTTTATGGGGTAGGGAGGGCACCTAAGTCCCCTTGTGTGCAACTGCAGGTGACTGAGTTCATGAAGATGGGTGTCGTGTTCCCCCTGAAACGAAGGTGACCCCCAAGGACATCAGTCCACAAACAGCTTCAGAGAGGGTGTTGTCAGCAAGGGTTCACTAACAGTGAGCTCCCAAAACAAATCTGTGGTCAAAGTTGAGAGTTTTGAGGAGAAAGAGGATTATGGCTTCTGGAGGCCAGACTGAAGGTCAGCAGGTAGACCGCCAGGCACAGCAGCTGGAAATGCTTGATTGTGGGATTGTGTGAGCCCGTATTAGTATGTGTGCCCCCGCCTGGAAGGCTCTTCCTGAGTGCTGAAAGATCCCTCTCATATTTGTGTGTTGCTCCCTGAAAAAAAAACGGGTTTTTTTGTTTTTTGTTTTTTTTGTAGAACACTGCTCTTCCCACTTAATCTTTGCACCTTGTTGTCAACTCTGCTTCAGAATGTGTGACTCTGTCCTCCTGTGTTTCTGTGTTTATTTGCACGTTGTTATGTAAATGTGTTTCCAGGGGTTCCTGTTATCTTTGCAGCAGAGTATACTTCTGTGTTGACTCGGGCTTTTGTGGATGGAAGTTCCTGCATGCCAGTTTCCCCGGGATTCTGATGTATGCCCTATTTCTTATTTTAAGTAGGTTGTGTTTTGTTGAATTTACTTTCCTGCTGGTTCCTCTATCAAATTGTGCATCTCTGCCAGAGGCCATTTGGAGGGAGCCTTCCAATCACAGCAGGGGTTCCTTCCTTCTTCTCCTCTTCCTCTTCCTCCTCATTCTTATTCTTATTCTTATTCTTATTCTTATTCTTATTCTAGATCAGTGGGTTCCATGGGTGGTGTCTTAGACTTGGGCTTCTGCCTGCCCTGGGGGACAGGAAGGAAACAGTTGGGCTGGGATTCAGAAGGACGATTCACCCTGAACTTGTCCTCTCCCAACTCCCTTCTTCTCATTGCAGACCCAGATTGAGAAGCCGCAGAAACGACCATCATGGGCAGCAAAACCTTGCCCGCACCAGTGCCCATCCACCCCTCCCTGCAGCTCACCAACTACTCCTTCCTCCAGGCAGTGAACGGCCTGCCCACCGTGCCCTCGGACCACCTGCCCAACCTGTACGGCTTCAGCGCGCTGCATGCCGTGCACCTGCACCAGTGGACGCTGGGCTACCCAGCCATGCACCTGCCGCGCTCCTCTTTCTCCAAGGTGCCAGGAGCCGTGTCCAACCTGGTAGACGCACGCTTCCAGCTGCCTGCCTTCCCCTGGTTCCCCCACGTCATCCAGCCCAAGCCAGAGATCACCGCTGCAGGCGGCCCCGTGGCGCTCAAGACCAAGCCTCGCTTTGATTTTGCCAACCTGGCCTTGGCTGCCACTCAGGAAGATCCGTCCAAGCTCGGCCGTGGGGAGGGTCCCGGCTCCCCCGCTGGCGGGCTGGGCGCCCTCCTGGATGTGACCAAGCTGTCCCCAGAGAAGAAGCCCACGAGAGGACGCCTGCCCTCCAAGACCAAGAAGGAGTTTGTCTGCAAGTTCTGTGGCCGCCACTTCACCAAGTCCTACAACCTGCTAATCCATGAGCGGACGCACACGGATGAGCGGCCCTACACCTGTGACATCTGCCACAAAGCCTTCCGGAGGCAGGACCACCTAAGAGACCACAGGTGCGGCACCCTGGGTGGCCCTAGAATAGAGCTGCCTGTCTGCCTAGGTCCTCACCGTTTTCCTCCCTAGTGAGGAGGTCCTTGAGATACCCCCATCCCTCAGGGGCTCCCTAGCTTTTGGGAATTCCCTAAAATAGCTCAGGAAGCCAGGGATCAGTTTGGGGAGCAAGGGTGGGGAGAACAGGGGATAAAGGGGACAGGAGGTTAAGTCAGATCTCCCTGAGTTCTGGACAAGCACGCATACCTTCCTCACCCCTCCCTCCATCCTCAGTGCTGTCCAATAAAAGTTCCTGCTAAATGCAGAGTGACCCTCCATGCACATGACAACTCAGCGCTTGGGACAGGCAAGGCATGTGATTGACAAACTACCTTTTACGTTTTGCTTAATTTCTATTTTAATAACCACGTGTGGCTGGTGGGTCTCCTCTGAGACAGTGCAGCTCCGGCTAATTGTCCTACCCCTGGTCCCCTCACTCCCCTTCAGCGCTGACCCAGGCCTTATAAGGAGGGCATGCTGGCTATTGGCCTTATGGATCAGAGATTGCTAAAGCTTCTCTCCTACCTCCCTCCCTGCTCCACCTGCAAACAGCATTTTGCCAGCTCCACACTAGGCACCCCCCAAATCCTCCCCCTTTCTTTTGAGGGCAAGCACCTCACCGTTGTGGGAGGGGATCTTGGGCAGCTGCTTCTAACATAGCATCACTTTGCAGGGATCCCTCAATTCCCCCTCTGTTTGTGTCCTCAGATACATCCACTCCAAAGAGAAGCCTTTCAAGTGTCAAGAGTGCGGCAAAGGCTTCTGCCAGTCCAGGACTCTCGCTGTCCACAAGACGCTGCACTCACAGGCGAAGGAGCTCAAAACCTCCAAGATCAAATGCTAAGCGAGCCTCCTGCTGGCCCGGACCCTGGGCCCCGCCGCCTCCTCCTCCAGAGGGACCAGAAGCCTGAAGGCGACTAGCGGACCGCCCACGGGAGGGGCTCCGGACCTTCCAGGGCCCCAACCACGTCCCTGGGGCGCCGCCGCCTGCAGAACTCCAGAGCCAGGGCGGCTCCCCCAGGACGCGGCTGAACTCTTGGCCAAAAAGGCGGCACTCACGTGGCGGAAAGGAAACTACATTTTTAAAATATATATATAAGAAGAACGAAAGCTCCGCGGAGCCGCAGCAGCGCCTCCCCCAGAAGTATTACTTTTTCTATGGTTATTTTATACGTTTTCTTCATTATTTTTTTTTCTTTGACCATATAAGCTTGTAACTCTGACTGCGGAGAAAGAGGGGGAGAGGAACAGAAGTTCTGAGCGCTCGGAGCTTCCAGAACTCTCTCCCGCCCCATCCCCACCCGGGAGCCCGCAAAAGTGTAACCCGTGTATCTGCTTCAGCCGCAGGCAGCCCGGCCCGGCTCGGCCCGGCCCGGCCCGTCGCGGGCTCCCAGCGCCCGCTCATAGTTCCCGGCTCCCAGCGCCCGCTCCCAGTTCCCCGTTCCCAGGTTCCCCGTTCCCCGCTCCCGGCTCCCCGCTCCCAGTTCCCCGGCTCCCCGTTCCCCGCTCCCCATCCCTGCTCCCGGCTCCCCGATCCCCGATCCCCGATCCCCGCTCCGGCCGCGCTGCGGGCCACGGGCTCCGGGACCGGCCTGCGGGCTGGGGCCGCGGGCGCTGGGCTGGAGGGGCCCGGCCTGGGGCTGCCCCGCTCCGCCGCCGCCTCCGCCTCCGCCTCCGGGATCGAGCCGCGGGCTAGGACATGGGCGTTGTATTGCGATTGGCACTTTACGCTGACCATCGGTAACGGACATTTATCACTGGAGTTTTTAAAAATATGAAATAAACGGTTATTTTACAGGCAACGCAGGATGGGTCATTTCCCTCCAAACGCAGGCGTCGGGGCGGCGCCTTTCTCTGCGATGAGCAGGTTTCTCTGCCCTCGGCAGCCTGTCCCGGCCCGAACCTGGGCGTTATGGGGCGATAGGGCTGGGATGGGGGGGGGGGGGGGGCGGGGTTCCTTCTGCCCCGTGTCTGCCTACCTTGGGCCCCTGCTCGTATTTATTTTCTTACTTTTCCCGGCTTTAGCGCCTCAGGCTCCCCACCCCCTGCCTCCAAAGGGCTTTGCGTTTACCGAGAAGCCAAGGCGCCGGCCAGTAGATCTGCCTTGAGAAGTCCCAACACCTCGGGGTGCCCCGGTCGCTTCTTGGGGTTCGCTAAGGGAACCACAGGTCACCTCCTCCCCAGCCAAGCGCCCCCGCCCCTGGCCCGCGGCTGTCGCTTTTCGGTGGGAAGGACGCGTCCAACATACAGCTTCCGCTCCCCCAAACCCAGCTGCACACACAGGATCGCGCTGCCTCCCCGAAGACCCCAGCCTACTCTCTGCCCCCGGAGGGTTTCCCAGCCAGAATTCCGCGGAGATTCCCTCCAGTTTTCCAGCCGCGTCCGGAATGGCGGGGGCGGCGCCCGGGGACGCCCGGGAGGTTGGGGCGAAATCCGAGTCCTCGCTCCACCAGCTGAACCTTCCCCAGGGCGTCCAGTTTTCCCACCATTAGAGGCCGGGCCGCCGGGGGCTCCCCCGCTGGGGCGAGGCGGGGCTCCCCGGCTCCAGCGCCCGCAGCGCGGGCGGCGCAGGCGGGGGGCGCCCGCGGCTTTCCCAGGCCGAGCGCAGCCTCCCCGGCTACCGGGATCCGCGCTCAGCGCCCAAGATGCTGCGGCGGGGGGTCCACCTTCCTAATAAGAACCCCGAATCCCAGCCTTGGGCAGGGCCCCGCGGCCTAAGGAAACGGGGGAGGGGGTCTGTCGGAGTTAAACCGCTCTAGGCGCCCCCTCCCCGCCTCTGGGATGGCCTCGGGGCCCAGGGTCGGAACACACTCTGTGGTTCGGGAACCTGCTGTCCCTGTGGCCTCAGCCCCCGGCAGCTCGGAGGAGCCCTGCCCTCCGCGTTTGGAGCCGCACTGCCCCCTGCCGGACAAGCCCGGCGGAGCGGCCCGGACTCCGGGCACCTCCTTGTGTCCAGCACACAACCCAGGGGGACTCGCCGCCCTCAGCCTCCTATGGCTACTCACACAGATCAAAACCCTATGGACTGGTCCCCGGGCCCCTGCGCAGGAGGACCAGCCTGTTGGAGCTTGGCTATTCGGACAAGATCCCAATCCTTCCCAGGCGAGAAGGGACACCAGGTCCCAGAGAACTGAGTCCTCTGGGTGCATGCAGGGGTTCAGTCAGTGGGTTTGGGTTTCGCGCAGGCAGTGGGTGGGCTGCCCTTGGCCACGGCTTGTGATAAAGCTGATGGCAGGAGTGGCCACCTCAGGTCCCCAAGTAATCCTGTGAGACTGGCGGAGGGACTTGGTTGTTCCAAGACTTCATGAGTGGGAGGGCGCGCACACACGTGTGCACACACATTTTCTCTCTCTCTCTCTCTCTCTCTCTCTCTCTCTCTCTCTCTCTCTCTCTCTCTCTCGCACACGCACAGCTGCGATGCAGAGCCTTGGGAACATCTGAGGATCTGAGCGAGAGCCGCACCCATCCCTTTGCTCTTCCTGGAGTCCCATCTTTCCCAGGATTGACCACCGCTGCTGCCCACTCCTCCCTCACATCCTCCACTCCTCTTCCCTGGGGCACAGAGCCACTGCCTGCGGTTAGTCCGGTCTCAGAGACTTCCTAAAGGCTGTGAAATGGAGATGTACCAGAAACCTCCACCCTTTCAACCCCAGGCCCTGCAAGTGTGCATCCTGGGACGAATGGGTTCCCAGCGCAGAGTTTTCAGGGGGCGATGGGGAGGGGGACAGGGTGCTGCCCAGAGATCTCCAGCCACTCCCATCACCTCTGCCTGGCCTTGCTCTACCCAGGATTGCTATCATGCTGGTGGACCCAGAAGCCACTTCCCAGTCTAGTTCTCCGTGGTCTACACTCCTGACAGCGATTGCATAGATTGTGCAGAAATGGCAACTGCAAGTGCAAGGGGCTGCAATTCCCGTGACCAGGTTGGGGCATTTTGTCGCTTGTATTCCTTGTGTGTCGCACGGAAAAAGCAATGCGAGGATCAAAAATGTTGGGTGGGTTTTCTTGCCTGTCCGCTCTATAGGAGCTAACTCCCCCTCCTCCCCGTACCCCGCTCCGAAAGTCCCATCCACCACCTCCCTCCCCTGCCTCCTGCCTCCTGGCTCCAGGCGGGTTTTCAGGATGGAAGGAGGTCACTGGCTCTGGGCCGCTGGAGTTCAGCTGGGGACCTACCCCCAATGCTAGGCCTGCGGTTCGGGGGAGCTACCAGCTGGACTCCTCTGCTGCCGGGTGGAAGGCGAGAGGCCACCGGTGCAGCCTGGTTTCCGGGGGCTCGCTCTGGGACGGGATAGGGAGCGTCCCGGGGAGAACAACAGCCCGCAGGGGCTTCACCATAGTTGGAAGACGTTCAGATTCCACCTCTTCTTTCTGGAATGTAGCTGGGGAGCGCGCGGGTGGTGGGGGGATGGGAGGCACCAAGGGACGTTTTCCTGAGGACTTCCTTGCAGGGGACTCACTAGGGCCCTGGGGAAAAGGAGGGAGAAACGCATGGGGTGCTTAGGGCGCCTTCAGTTCCCAGAACGTGGAACCTGAGAGAGCATAACCCTTTCTCCCGCCCTCCTTCCCCCGTCCCCGCCTCCCCCAGCGGAATCCTGGTGTCTCTAGTCAGCTCCTAGGTCCCATCCCAGAGTTCTAGGGTGCTGTGACGTCACGGCACCCTCCCGCGGACACAGTGACGTTTCACAAGCCTCCAGCCAGGGCCAGGCATTCGCTTCGCGATGTCTCTCATTTACGCATTCCATGACGTCACCGGAGGGCCCCCACCGGAGAGGTGACACCCACATTTCCCGGCCCCTCCCCGAGAATCCCACCCGTAGAGGCGCCAAGACTCTGTCCCGTCCCCACCCATGGGATCCGCAGTCCCCAAGCGTTGGCGGTGGCCCGCGGGGAGGGAGGGAGGGTGTCTGGCTGCAGCATCGCCCTGGGAGGCAGGCGTTGGGATGCAGCGGCCCGGGGATGGCTCGCCCCGCCCCATTCCCCGCCCCTAACCACGCCCCGACAAGCAGGCCACGCCTCCGGCCACGCCCCCGCCCGCCTCCCGGCCCACTGCGCAGGCTCCGCGCGCCGGCGCAGGAAGAACTCGCCGCCTAGAGCAGCGGCGCCGAGGTGAGCTGTCTCTCCGCGGCGTCCGGGAGCCGCGGCCGGTTCGTGTGTCCCGCCCTCGGGGCTCACTGACGCCTCCAGCCGTCGGCGCCCGGAGCGGACCAGGGAGAGGCCACGCCGGGCTCCGGAGGGCTGGGACGCTGTGGGCTCCCGTCCCGCACCGCCCGTCCGCCGCCCAGGACCCTGCGCGGGAGCCTGCGGGACGCGCTGCCCAGCCCTGCCTCCCTCGGACAGCCCGGGCCGCCCACCCTTTGCGGGCAGGGTCTCCGCGGCTGGGGTCTCCCCCGCAGCCGCGCGGGGCTCCTGACACAGACTTGGCCACTTAGGCTACCTGTTCAGCCCGGTCTTCTGGGCCGCTGCTGAGCCAAAATGTTTCATTCTTTACCTTTTTAAAAAATTTTTATTTTATTGTTTAAAGTATTACAAATAGTAGTACATATGTCTCCTTTCCCCCCCCTCCCTCCCCCCATTGACCAGTTTGCATGTTTCCATGGAAAAGTTCGCTAGGGATGGACAGGAGATAATTAGCGGTCAAAGCTCCTGTCTCCCGCAGAGGAAGAATCAGAAGCTGTGTGTTCCTTACTGCGAGTGCGAGGGGCCAGAACACCCAGTTTTAGCTTTTCCTGCCACTTCACAAGCTTTGGGCAAATCCCTGCATTTCTCTGGGCCTCAGTGTTCCCCCTGTAATGGGGATAAGACTCTTCCCATCCACCTCAATTCAGTTGATGGAGAGGTCAAAGTCATGTTTTCTCCGTCACATTCAGACCTTGAACCCAAAACGGGCCCCTGATGTATCGCAGAACCACTTTGTCATGTATGAGGTGGCATGTATGAGGTGCCATGTACAGCTGTGATAAGGAATGCCGCTCAGTACCCTGATGTTGCCTGCCTCCCAAGCTGTCCCTCATCTTCAGGGTAACATGTATTGCCCGGGATCCCCAGATGGGATGGGAGAAGGATATCTTCCCGAAACCTCCAGGAAAACGTGAGAGAAGCCTTTTAACTCCATTTGGACCGCGGATGAATCAGTTCACAGATTTTTGTTACATTTGGTTGAGAGAGAAAGGTGACAAAATGTAAGTGCCCTACTCACCACTCCTTTGGGAGAAACACATACCCACTTGGTGCAAATGTGGGGTAGGGCAAGGCCTATGTATGTGGCACGTATGACTGCATAAGCAGTAGAGGCACTTTCACTCTGCAAACACCAGCCTGTAGAGTGAAAGACCACAGTATAATCTCCTTTTTGTTGTTGCTTTGACTTTTGCTAGGCTGCCCTTGGCTGAAGAAAAGCTGGTCACAACATGCTGTCACATGGATGCATCCTCAGGCATGTTCCTCTCGCACTCAGCTACCCAGGCCTTGGCTCTCTGCTGACATTCTTGGCCATTTTTTTTTTTTTCCCTGGCCAATGCTAGTTTCAGTTCCAGCAATGAGAATATAGGACTAACCCAGAAAATTGGGATGGATGGATGGATGGATGGATGGATGGGTTGAGAGTTTTTTCTTTTCCAAACACTGAGCTGGCTCTGAGTAGCTTAGCCATCTCTGGGGAGGTATAAAGCATAATTAATTCATTTTCAATGTTTGGTTAGATTGAACTCTTTTGCTAGTGAGATAAGATAAAGAGTTTTGTCATGACAGGGGCAAGAATGGATTGGTTTTTGTCACTGGCAGGAACGGGTACCACGTGGAGTCTGTAGGTAGATGGTGGCATGGGATGTGAAACTTTACAAGGAACATGGAAGAAAGCTAGAGGACATGGGGCAGCAGTGACTAGATGACTTATCTCTCAAAGGGCCAGAGAGGCAATATGAGCTTTCAGAGATTCCGGACCTTAACTTCAATAATGAGAGTTTCTTTTGAGAATGATTTACTTCTTATTAAAACCTGGTCAAGAGCATCTAGAGTTCAGAATATCTTTAGCATCTCACAGCAGGCATAGGTCTGCAGTAGGTTAAGAACCAGAGCAGATATGGTGCTGTAGCTATCAGGAATTGTCTGTCTGGCCTTGCCATTGGAGAGATCAGCGAATAATGAACACACACTCTAAGGGGGGTGGGGCACTGGAAGAATAGTTAAATGATACAGGCATCTATGTATCATCAGATTCACCTTTTTAATTGTGAGGTTTATATCTTCTGTATTCTTTTTAACTTTTAAAATTCTTTGTCTATTCCTAACTTTGATGCTTTAGTGTGTTAAAAACTCCTACCATGATGGTAGAATTACCCTTTTCTTGTACTTCATATATTTATAGATATATAGATTCCTATAATTACCACCACAATCAAGATACAGAACTATATTATCACTACAAAGATCCTCTGTTGTCAGCATTTTACCAGTTTGAGTGAAGTGTAGAAACTTTACCTCCCATTAGGGACTAAATTTTTTACTCCTTCCTTCTCAGGCATACCCGCCTCCCTTGAAATCCCTATATTGAAATCCTAATCGCTCAGGTATTAGAAGGTGGGGTCTTTGGGAAGTAATTAGGTCATGAGGGTGGAACTCTTTTGATTGGTATTGGTGCCTTATTAGAAGAGTCACTAGAGAGCTTGCTTCCTCTCCACTCTACCATGTAGGGAAATAACAAGAAGATAGTCATCTACAAACCAGGAAGACAACTCTCACCAGACATTTGGATCTACTGGTACCTTCACCTTGAACTTCCAGCCTCCAGGAATGTGAGAGATAAATGTCTGTTGTTTATGCCAATGAGTCTATGGTATTCTGTTACAGCAGCATGAACAGACCAAGACAGTTTTTTAAATCCCTTTTATCTTGTCTATGACACAATAATCTTAAATATTTCCTTTACATATATTGAATACCCAAGTCAGACAACTCTATGCTTTTTGCTTTGACTATCAAACATAAATTAGACAACTCAAGAGGGGAGGAAAAGTTTATTGTATTAGCCACATGTTTGCTTTTTCTAATATTCTTTCCTTCCTCATGTTCCAGGTTTCCTTCTTTTATTATTTTCTTTCTATTTTGAGAACTTTTTTTTTTTTTAACCATTATTTTAGGGCAGGTCTGGTAGTGGAAAGTTCTCTTAATTTTTCTTCACCTAAGAATGTTTTTTATTTCTCCTTCATTTCTGAAGGATAATTTCACCAGTTACAGAATTCTGAGTTGACATTTCTTTCTTTTCAGCACTTGAACAATATTCAGTTACTTCTGCTGACTTCCATGTTTTCTCATGAGAAGTTTGCTGTCATTTGAAATGTTTTTTCTTATGTGTAAGATGTCATTTTTCTTGCTGCTTTCAATATATTTTCTTTGCTTTTAATTTTCAGAAGTTTGATTATGATGATTCTCAGTATGGATTGCCTTGGTTTTATCCTCCTGGGGATTTGCTCATATTTTTAAACCTATAGGTTTACATCTTTTTCTATAGTTGAAAGTGTTTCAGACACTTGTTTCTTTTCCATATTTGGAAAAAGTTTACACATAATTTCTCCTAAAATGTTTTTTATCTTCACTCCCTTTCTTCTCTATTTCTTCAACTCCAGAGACATTAGTATTTCAGCTGTTGTTATAGTCTCATAGTTAATTTTCTCTCTGTTTAATTTGGGTAATTTCTATTGTTCTTCTTCCAGTTTATGGGTTCTTTCCATATCCCCTCCATTCTGCTTTTGAGGTTTTTATAAAGTTCAATGATAGTATTTTTTCAATTCTAAAATTTCCATATGGCTTTTCTTCCTGTATTCGATTTCTTTGCTGGGATTTTCTACTTTCTGCTGTTTCAAGGGCTCCTAATTGCTCACTGAAGTATTTTTATGATGGTTGCTTAAAAATTCTTGTAGATAATTCCAACATCTGTGTCATCTTGATGTTGATGTCTGTTGATTATCTTATCCTTTTCAAGTTGAGATTTTCCCAGTTCTTGGTCTGACATATGATTTCCGGTTGTATCCTTGACATTTTTGGCATTATGTTATGGGACTCTGGATCTTATTTAAATCTGTTTGAACAAGTCTTCTCTGACTTGCTGTGCTGGTTAGGGAAAAAAGAGGTGCTTCTTTGCTATTACCATGTTGGGGTGAATGTCCAAGCTCCAAACTTGGCTTCCCACGACATCCTTGGAGGAAAGGGGTACTGCAGTGTTACTCAATGGAGGTGAGACTTTAGACTTCTTTTATTCCCGGTCTCCACGGCCATCTCCCAGGTTGTGAAGGGGAGAGTTTTGTTGTTGCTTCACATGGCTTCTAGTGGTGGGGTGGTGAAAGGCCTTGTTACCCCATGGGTTCACCACTGAGTCCTCTCAGAAGAGCACGGAGGAGCATCTTTTTCAAAGCCAGACAAAGACAAGACCATGCTTGTTATGTAGTCTTTGCTGACTGGTAATCCTTGGCTTTTTGAATCTCCATTTTGTTGTGTAAGTGAATCGGTATTGGTCTTACAGAAGCATACACTAAGTGACACATTTCTCCACAAATTCCTGCTTCCTGGGTTCACTTCTTATTTTGTTGTTCCAAGGTAGTCCTGGGTTTCAACTCTAATGCATTGTGGTATCTTCAGTTTCATAGGGCAAAATTATCACTTTGTGTTTTGACACAAAATGCATTGGAGTGTTTCTTTATTATAAAGTTATAAAAGTATTATCTGTTCTCAAAAGTTGGCATGTAGTGTCCCCTGTAGACAAAAAGGTACCATTGCTAGTTTTAGATTAGCTGGAACCTCTTGAGTTTTGACCACGTAACATTGAGTATTTTTTTTATTTTGTTTATGAAAAGAGGAAATCTAATGTATCTGGTGGTTGGGAGCATGGTTTTCTTTTTCACTCTACTCCCTTGTCTGGTTTTTAGATCATAATTTTAATTTAAATTTGTCCATAGAATTTTAAGCCTCATTAAATTTTTGGCAATGGAATATCCAAAATTTCCTAAAGTATTAGTTAGTTTCCTTCACTGTCAAAATATTTCCTAAATGGATAGAATTTTTTTTTTTCTCTTCTAAAATCATGCCTTATAGATGTCTTAGCATTATCTTAGTCAGGAAGAGATATAATTATTAAAACAAAAATGTCCCTTCAGTTAATGTTACTTATTATGATCTGACTTTGCCAGACTATAGACTAAGTTGAAACATCATACAAATTGAGAAAAACAGTTCTTTTTTCTCCCAGTTATATTCCGTTACAACACAGTATTTACTCCAGTAAGTCTGGGCACACTTAGGTGGATCACCCAGATAAATGGAACTAGGAAGTAGGAACCTTTTGTCTCAGCACAAGTTTTTTTTGTTGTTGTTGTTGCTGTTGTTTTTTTTAAAATATATTTTATTGATGTTTTTATAGGAGGAAGGGAGAAAGATAGAGAGTTAGAAACATTGATGAGAGAGAAACATCCATCAGCTGCCTCCTGCATACTCCCTACTGGGGATGTGCCTGCAACCAAGGTACATGCCCTTGACCTGAATTGAACCTGGGACCCTTCAGTCCACAGACCTACTGAGCCAAAAACGGTTAGGGCATCAGTACAAGTTTTATTGCTGCACTTAGTCAAATCTCACAGCTATAGCATGTCAAACTCGTGGCCACCGGGCGCATGCCTTGGTAATTTGGCCCGTGCTAGCTTTTGAGTTTGACATGCTTTCCATAACATGTCAGGCCCTCAATTTCCTTACTTGCCAATTAGACTAAAATAACCTATCTCCGTGGTCAGCAAACCGCAGCTCGGGAGCCACATGTGGCTCTTTGGCCCCTTGAGTGTGGCTCTTCCACAAAATACCACGGCCTGGAAGAGTCTATTTTGAAGAAGTGGCGTTAGAAGAGTTTAAGTTTTAAAAATTTGGCTCTCCAAAGAAATTTCAATCGTCATACTGTTGATATTTGGCTCTGTTGACTAATGAGTTTGCCCATCACTGACCTATCTCTTCTAACTCCCACAGTTTTTTTAAATTAAAAATTAAACTTGTGGCATAAATATAGATAATATTGCTAAAGCCAGCCACCTCTTTTTATTTAGTCTTTTAAAAGTATCTGCAGAGGCTCCCAGCTTTTTAGCTTCCTTTGGTCTCAGACATGGCTCACTGGTTGAGCATCCACCTATGAACCAGGAGGTCACAGTTCCATTCTTGGTCAGGGCACGTGCCCAGGTTGCAGGCTCTGTCTCCAGTGTGGGGTGTGCAGTAGGCAGCCAATCAATGATTCTCTTTCATCACTGATGTTTCTATCTCTCTCTTCCTTGTTCTCTAAAATCAATTAAAAAAAAAGTCTTAGAATAAAGAGAATTAAAGACTGCTCGGGATAGCTGTAAAACAATTTCAGACGTCACTGACAGGGTTGGATATCTTCATTTTTGCTATGAGTAAGAACCGCATTAATGTTTCTCTCTGGGATGCTTCCATTCTGTAGCAGCCGGGCGACTGGTGGTGTCACCACAGGATTCAGGCAGAAGCCTCGCGTGTGGTTTACAGATTGTGTAGCAGACATGCAGGGATGGAAGTGGCTGTAATTAGAAAATCAATCTCACATTTAGGAAGTATGCTGAAGCATGGGGATATTCTGACTTGTCCCAGAAGTACAATGAAAGTAAACCAACGGCTGTCAAAGTGAGAACCATTACAAAACACAAAACATGAGATAATGAACACAAAGGTTTGAGTCGTAAATATTTGTTTCTAGAGAAGCAAGGCAAACTCATTTCAAATTTCTGAGAAAGAGGGCTTGGTAGTAGATGGACCACACCAACCACACTTAGCGGTGCTAACATGGAATGTCTGCATGAGACCATCTGTAGGAGACAAGAAACCGTGGGGCCACCGCCCTAGTGGGCAGGATCCCTCTGCTCCTTGGAGTGGTCCTTAGATGTGGCAAGGAGCTGACAAAGATGTGCTACTGATTTATTTTCTATTCATCATCCTCAGGATCTGAAATTAGGGAGTGAGCCAACGCTAGGTATTTCATGGACTTCAGCCGTGGATGGGGCGGTAAGACCATGTCACATTGGCCTCGGAGCACGGTTTTGACTGCAGAAAAGTGTAAAGCAGTGTTCAGAATTTTCTTTGCGTCTACTATCAGTTTGCTTCCCTCCCACATAAATCACTCTGAGCTGCACAACAGGTCTGAGACAGGAGGGCATGGGCTGTCTCGGTGAGGATCTGTTAGTGTGGTATCTGAGGAAGCCAGCTGAATGCTTTCTTTCTGCTCTTTCCAGCTCCTCTGTGCCATTGTTTTGCACAACGGGGCAATTGTCCTTGGCAGGTGGTTGGCTCTGGGTCCAGGGTGCCCAGGCAACCCCTGTATAAAGTGCAGTGAGAACACTGGGTGCAAAGCTGGCTGGTGACTTATATGGCTCTTGGGCATGCTTCCCTCTGGCCTGGGAGGCATGTCTGTAGGTCCTGAACAGAAATTGCCCTACTGAGAGCACTGCAGGGGATTCCAGAGACACCTAGGGGAGTCCCCTGTCCTGTGGAAGAAAACAAATCCCTACCTCCCAGCGCGGGAGGAGGGATGGGAGGGGGGGATCTTTCAGTTTCTCGTGAGAACCCTTCATTCCTCCGTGAGAGCTGGGGTTTAGAATGCAGAGAGGAGATCTTCTATAGCCACCATATATAGGAGTTCTTAACCATATGCTGAGAGATTGGCACCAGAGTTGTTAACCTTATTTCTTTAGTTGAGGAAGTGGAAGCTCAGAAGTATACTTTTGTGCAAAGTGACAAAAATATGTTGTAGAACTAGGCTTCAAATCCAGATTCCTCAGACTCCAAAGTCTCTGACTCACAAGGCCCTGGACTGCCTCCCGCCGCTGCAGCCTCTAAAGGGGAGTCTCTGAGGGGAGGCCCTGCCCCGAAGGACCAGATGCTGGGCTTTACCCATTCCTGGGGCGGGAGGGAGGGAGCAGCTAAGTCAGGTGTGCTGAGTGCAGACCCCCTCCAAGCACCAGGCAGAAGCCTCCTCTTGCTCATGGGCGACCTTTCAAGGGGCATCATTGAGGATGGAGCCCCCCGGGGCAGGGGATGGGGTGTGTGGCTGACCCCTGCCTGCTCCAGGGCTCCTCTCTCCATCAGGAGAGAGGGCAGCCCCTTTGAGAGGGCAGTGTGGTCTGGAAGCAGGCCCTCTGCATTTCTGTTCATGTCACTGGCTGGAGTGTAAGCTGATGAGCCTGAATTATGGCGGAGCACCTAACTGGGCAGGCCAGGGCTGATGGTAGTGTGACGAGGGAGGCCTCCGATGGGTCTGTGGGTGCTGTCATGATGTGACCCGCCTGAGACTTTCCGCTGACCTTCAGAGGTTCATCTTGCAGTCCAGGAGCCTGGAAACCCAGCGTGAGGAGGCAGAGCAAGGTCACCCTGACCAGACTCGGGACATGGCCCCAGACTCTCCCACTTCCCATGTGTTCTACAGAAACCTCAATCATCGCACTGCTAACTCTGCATTACACATCTGTTCGCAGGCTCCTCGAGGAGGACGTGGGCCAGACCTGCATGTCTCAGCATTCCCAGCATCCTTTGGGGCACCTGAGCCTGAGGAGACTTCCTAGCTACGCTGGAACCCAGAGAACAGCCGTGGCCCAGATACAGGAAGGAGGAAAACCTCCCAGGAAATGGGAAAAGAAGGTAACGGGGCGACTGTCTTTCTGGGATAAGCCTCCCGGTCATTTGGGCTGCAAATGAGAAATGCCTGTGAGCTGGAGAAGGATCATCTACTGCCTGAGTCAGTGGGGCCGCTGGAGAGGATATTTCAGAAAAGGGAACAGCAGCCTTGCTCAAGGGCAAATCCTATAGAGCTTTTCCCAAATACTTACAATCTGCTAGCATGAAGGCTGCACCTTTTATTTTCACCTCACCTTGTATATAAAATGAAACACTTAAAATGCAACCCCTGAAAACGTAGAAGGCAAATAAAGAAATCCTGCTAATTTAATGAAGACGAAGCTGTAAATGAGGCTTTTATGGAGTGTCAACCATTCACAGAGGAACCTGGAGGGGAGTGAGGAGGCGGTGGAGGACCAGGCTATGACGCAACCTGGAGGCCAGAACTGTTACTTGTTCTCTGTGGCCTGTGGGGTCTCTGCAGGGGCGGGGAGCTCTGCTCTTACGGAATGATCCAGAAACCTCAGCCCTGTGAACTCTCCCTCGGCCTCAACCTCGATCTCTCCCTTCCCAATGAGACCGAGGAGTGACAGGGCTGTCAGAAACACCCTTCCCTCCGGGTTGGTGAACGGCTCCCTCTGGTACCTCTGTGCCAAGGGGTCCCCAGGGAAGACAAGCTTTGTTCCGTGCCCTCTGTGGTATGCAGCCTATCTACAAAGCAGCGAGAATGCAGCGGAGGGAGGGCCCGGCTGTCCTCCCCGGTCCTTTCTGTAATCCCCTTGTCACAGCCACCTCGCAGGCTGCTCGCCCTGACAGAGGGGATGTGATGGGCAGCCTGTCAAATAGATTGTGAGTGCATTAGCAGGATTAGCCACGAAGGCTAATATTGCAGCCTTTCCAGAGTTCATTCGCAGCAGCTGAGGCTGGGCTGCTCGGCTGCCAAAGGGGGCAGGCGCACGCAGGCTCCGGAATTAATGTCACCTCTGGGACCAGCCCCGAAGTGGTCCGAGGCACAACAGTCCCATTGTGCTGCGCTGGTGTGTATGTGTTTTCATTCCACAACAGAGCTTAATTTATAATATTACCATAAAGATGCCGCCTAAGGGTTCTTTCCCATCTTCCTGATAAACTGGCTGAAAAACTTCTGCAGCCCCTCAAAACCAGATGCTCTGCTCTTGGCATTGGTTGAAGTATTGCTGACTTTATTTCGTCTTGTTAAAGTAATATACCCTCATTTTGGAAATATTGGATCAGAAAAGTATAAGGGAGAAATTTAAAATGATCCTTTTACCAGATAGTACCTGGATGGCATGTTGATGCATTTTCATGCAGTTTTTCTTTTATGCATACAGAACAAAAGTGTGATTATAGCGTGGATTCAGTTTTGTTTTCTTTTTAAATAAACGTGAACACCTTCTGCTTCTTTGTTTTTTAATTTCCCAAATTTCTTGTACTTTTAATGAAAACATCTATGAAATGTTTTAGGTGACTATATATGCATTAATTTTATTTGTTTATTATACATTTAATTTTTTTTTATTGCTTTAAGTATTACATAAGTCTCCTTCCCTGGCCTGACCTCTCCCCGACCGTCCCCACCCCTGCATTGATTTTTTTATTGATGTTTAACATATCACTACAAACTCAGCAGCTTAAAACATACTGGTTCATTAGCTCCCGGTATCGTGGGTCGGAAGTCTTGCATGGCGTGTTGTGCATCTCTGCTGAGGACTCACAGGCCAAAACCAGTGTCAGCTGGTCTGGGAAGTTTTCTTCCGGGGGTTCTGGGAAGAATCATGTCCAAGCTCATTCTTGTTGGCAGAATTCACTTTTCCAAGGCTGTAAGGCTGAGGGCCTCATGTCCTTGTTGGTTATTAGCTAGGGATGTTCTTAGCAGCTGGAGGCTGCCTGTCCTTCTCGACACATGACCCCCCCTCAACTGCAAGCCACCATTGATGCACTGAACCCTTACTGTGTTTTAAAAATATTTTTATTGATTTCAGAGAGGAAGGGAGAGAGAGAGAGAAAGGGAGAGGGAGAAACATCAATGATGAGAGAGAATCATTGGTTGGCTGCCTCCTGCACACCCCACACTGGGGACTGAGCTGCAACCCAGCCATGTGCCCTGACAGGGAATTAAGCTGTGACCTCCTGGGTCATTGGTTGATGCTCAACCACTGAGCCACACCAGCCAGGCAACCCTTACTGTGTTTTGAATCCCTGGCTGCTTCTGTGACCAGCTGGAGAGAACGTTCTTCCTTTGAAGGGCTCATTTGATCAGGTCAGGCCCACCTGAATAATGTCCCTTGGTCACGAGCCTGGAACCAAAGCAGATGACACAGATGTAGTTATTTCAGCAAAGACTGGAAGACTTGGCTGGGTTGTGGGGTAGCAGACTAGTGGGGCGGGAGCACTATGCCAGGTTTGCCTGCTGACTCCTGCAGATAGGAGTACAGGGACACAGATATCCTGGTGTGAAGGCCATGCCTGAAATTTCCTGATGCGAAATCTTTTGTGTGAGCGTTGGCTAGAGGCCCGAGGGCTCAATGAGCTGGTGCCACAGACAAAGGGCAGATAGGACTGAGCCTTCCCTGGCAGGAGGTCGTGGAAGCAGTGGTTATGTGTAATGTTGGGAAATCTGTCTTCCCCTCTCAGCCTTTCTGTGTTATGAGGATAATTGCTTTTGCTGTTGAGTTATATTTGCATAGTTATTTTTAGTTATGAGAGCGATCTCACAGTTTCTAGTCTTCCTAATTTTCATATCAACCATGTGAAGTTGAAACTATTTCTTTATAAGGTGAAGTTAAGTATTATACAATATATCTATTTATATAATAAAAGCTAAGTGACTGTTATGGCAGGACTACCAGAATGGCCAGAACGACCAGTTGCTATGATGCTCACTGACCACCAGGGCGCAGATGCTCAATTCAGGAGCATTAAAAAGTAGTTACCATTACATATTTCATTTTATAGATGAGGAAATTAATGCTAAGTAAAGGTTCAGCGATTTGTCTAATGGCACTTTGTAAGCTATGGAACTGGGCCTGGGACTCAGGCTGTAACCTTCCTGGTTTTGTGTGCTGCCTCTCACTATACTATCAAGTTGACCTGCCTAGACAGGGTCAGCATGGGCATAGTTGATGTCTATCCTTTATTTATGAAGGACAAATTTTCTGGGTAAAATATTTTGGGTTGGTAGGTTTTTCTTCCAGCACTTTGAATATATCATCACACTTCCTCCTGAATTGCTAGATTTCTGCTGAGAAATTTCCTGTTAACTTGATATTCCCTTGTATGTGAGGATTTTTTTCCCTCTTGCTTATTTTTAGATGATTTTTCTGTCGTGAATTTTAAGAGAAGACGTTTTTGTGTTGAAATTGTTTGGATACCTGTTTCATGAACTTAGATGTCCAAGCTTTCTCCAGTTTGGGAAGTTTCTAGCCATCATTTCTTTAAATAAGCTTTTTGTGCTTTCCTAACTCTCTTCTTCTGGGACTCCAAAAATACAGGATTTCTTCAGTTTTTTTCTCTCTCTTTTTGTTTGTTTTCTTCTTACTAGATATTTTTAAAAGATCTATCTTCTACCTCAAAGATTGTTTCTACTATACAATCTAGTTTTCTGTTGATGATGCTCTTTATTATGTCTTTCTTCTTATTCCTTGTATTCTTCAGCTCCAGGATTTCTATTTGTTATTTTAAATTATTTCTAGCTCTTTGTTAAACTTCTCATTTTATTATTGTTTTCCTGATTTTAATCTCATCTTTCTGTGTTCCCTTATAGTTCACTGAGCTTCCTTAAAATGACTATTTTGTATTTTTTATTGGTCAAACTTCAATCTCCATTTTTTGAGGTTGGTTACCAGAAAATTACTGTTTTCCTTTGGTGGTATCACATTTCCTTGATTGTTGCTCTTTTTCAGAAGTTTAGTGTTGTTGTCTTCACATTTGAAGAAGTATTTACCTCCCCTAGTCTTTACTGATTGACTTTGGGAGAGAACTACCTCCCATCCTTGTTAGGGATCTGAAGCTTTCTCAGATCTTCTACTGATGCTCCTGCCCCACACTTCCAGTTACCTCTCCAGGGGGAATTCTTAAGATTTTATGCCTTCTCTTAATCCTGCAAAGCCTGATGCTGACAGCCTCCCATTTGCTTTCCCTAGGACTGTGTGAGTGCTCAAATTTGTGTGCTTTCTCCCAACCCTGCAGAGTTGGGCTAACTTTCTGTATGCATTCCCTAGTTGTCTGCAAAGGCTTATCCCTGCTGCCGTAGGGGACATGCTCATGGAGCTGGCCATAGTGGGGTACGTGTGGGTGAGCTTGCAGAGCATTGGGTATGCCTTCAGACTAATTGGGAGAATTCATTGGTGGGTTTCCCAGTGACTCTTGATGGAGTCGGAAGCACAGTTTGTAGGATCTATGTTCCTTTGTAAGATCCCCATTTCCCTCTTGGAGGGCTCCAAGAGCCCTGGCTGCTGTTTTCCCAGCTGCTTCCCACTCCCCAGTCATGCAACACACTCCAGTACTCTGAGCGGGATGAGAAAGAACTGGGTCTCTTTGATGGTGCCCCACATAGCTGGGAAGCTGAGCAATCACATATTCTCACTCCCCCTTGTGGAAGAAATCATGGGTCAAGGTTTCTTTTGGCACTGAGCTGTGCCATCTGGGGAAGGGGTCACATAGGTGAAGTGAAATGTTCCTGTAACCCTCTTTAATGCATCTAACCTTAGGTTTTATTTTGTTCCAATGGTGTGCTGGAACTTCTCCCCTGGACTCTTGGACTTCCATAAAGGCACTGCCATTATGCGTGCTCGTCTAAATTGGTATTCCTTGGGGGTTGGGTAGAAAACTTGTATTCTACCATGTTGTTGATGTCACTCTTCTCAATGCTTATTTACTGAGCACTTATATGCCAGAAACGATTCTAGACCCCATAATTATGGCAACATAAGATTATGTTCTTGTGGAATTTGTCTTCTAGGATTGTATCTGTTCATTATTTGTGAAGTGGGAGTAAGAAAAAC